GCCCGATGGGATGTGCTGCCACATTGCGACAGGCAACTGCACTCACGGCCTCCAGGGTTCTGCCAACAACTTGTGGGTGGGTTGGGATGATGACTCGAGCATTGGAGTTGAGGACTTCGAATTCTCCAAGCACATGCCGTCTCCTATTTCGCAGCGCTCATATTGCACCATTTGGGCAACGTATATTGCACCGCGTCGCCTGAATCCCACAGATTGAACAGCACATTTGGCACACCATATGCTGCACCACGTAGCTTGCGTCGCAAGAAGTGCTGATCGAGAGTACAGACACCCGCTGTTTGGGATCCTCGCTGGCAAACATGCAAACATTGGAGGGATAAGGTGGCAAGATGCGGAACCGGGGGCGGAAGACGCGGATGGGCCGGAGGCGAACGACGCGTGCCACACTAATCATAACGGTTGCATCGAGAATTATCCCCTCGGGTCCGCGAAGTCTTCGGCCTCCGCTGAAGTGCGCAGCTTTGCCGCCTCCGGCTGCTGCACGGACACCTGTATCAGCTGCATGTCGGCAGCGACGGTGCCAGCGAGTGCTGTCGCCATCGCAATGCTGAATGAGTGCCTCATCGTTGTGCTGCTGACGACGGCTGAAATGTGTAAAGGAAGATGCAGTTCTGGGAGCACGTCAGGAGTGTAGATGAGAGTGTCCAATTGGACACGTCGTCTTGGAGCAAAAATGCAATGGAGGCGGAGGGATTGCGCTTGCTGCTGCTTGCTGGTGACTGGTTGTGGTTGCTGCTGCGTACTGCGGCGTGATTGATGTGTCGCGCCTATTTGTGTCACTCTTGTGGCCTCTCGGGCGCAGTGTTGCAACCTCGGAGCCTGCTGAGTAGCCTTGGTGCTGTGATGCGCTGTCAGTGGGCACTGTTGGGACACTCTTGGGCCATCCTGGCGGCCACTCGCATAGGGCTCAAGGGTCTCTCGGGGGATTTTCGGGAAACGCCTTGTTCCCTTGACTTCTTGAAGCCATCTTAAGCTCCATCTGCAGGCTCCCGTGCGCTGTCTTGCGGATCTTGGGCTGAACCGTGTGCGCTCTGGGCAAGCCCTCGAGCTTTCTGAAGCAATGCTGAAGTCATGTCGCACCGAAAGCAGGCGGATGCACTGTAGATGAGACATCAGGAAGGATTTGACGAGTTGGGGCCGTCTCGGGCCTGCTTGACGTCTCTTGGAGATTCTCTAAGGGCCTGGAAAGCGTCTCGGCGCCTCCTGGGCTTGAGGGGCAACGATAACTGGGGGGGACTGGCACCGGGGGGTGGGGGGAACGTCAACCTGGAATCGGCGGTACATCGTCCACAGACTGGCGATAGGCCCCCGATCGTGGATCTGCACCTTCCTGGGCAGGTTTGGGCCGTCGGGCCCCTATCGGCGATCAGCGGGCGATGGGGCGTCGACGCACCCCCCACCCCCTATGCCTGGGCCCCCAATCGTTGCCCCCGAGGGCTGCTAACCAACAGCCCCTGACACGAATCCCCATGGGATATTAAAGTTCGGGGTCCAGGGGGAATTGTAAACGTTTTCCCGGAGATCTCAGCATACTGATGAAGACGATGACGATGAGGATTACAGAGCTGATCCTGCACGCCTCATAGGAATCCTCAACAAAAACCTTGGGCTTCCTTCGGACATCCACAGGACTCCTTGGGAACCCATCCTCTGCAGAATGCCAGCGGGGGGGGGGGAGACGACGACGACGACGACGACGACGACGACGACGACGACGAGGACGACGAGGACGACGAGGACGACGAGGACGACGAGGACGACGAGGACGACGAGGACGAGGACGAGGACGAGGACGAGGACGAGGACGAGGACGAGGACGAGGACGACGACGACGACCCCGCGGAGGTCTCCGGGGCTCGGCGGAAGGCCCCCCCCCGTGCAGGAGGCCCGCGGAAGGGGGGCGCACCCGCGCCCCGCAGGCCGCGGCGCGACCCACTGGCACAGGGCGGCGGGCCTGCGCGCCCGGAGCACACGCCTCGCCCCGCTCGCAGGGGACGCTGCCCCGCCCCGCTCCCGGCGTCGGGGGCGACGACGTGGGCGAGCATCAGGTCGGGCCCCCAGGAGGAGGAGGAGGAGGAGGAGGAGGAGGAGGAGGAGGAGGGGGAGGAGGAGGACGAGGAAAAGGAGGA